GGTTGAAAGTGGTGACAAAATGCACTCGCTTTCAGAACACACACACACAGTCAGCCTCTCGATAATATGCGTTTTTGCTGGCTGTACCAGCGCTATTGCGCTGCACAGCAAAAACGCATAAAAATCATTGATAATTGGAGAACTTCCGTATTTCATTGTAGCGAATATCTGCGACGTATCCTATGACGCAAATGGAGCTTTTTTAAAACACCAGAAAGGGTGTGAACCTTGCATCTTCACTATTTTTGAATTCTTCGAGTTGTGCTGTATTGAACATTACACTACTAGCCCCTGTGTTCCAAGTTTAGTAAAAACTGGAGCATTTGAACTTCGATGTAATGCATCCACAGACGTACAGTTCTACGTCACAAGCACTACACAATTTTCCCAACTTTTCTGATTTTTCTCCCGGAGGCTTTCAGCTCAAAACGAAATTTCCGGAGACTTTTAGCTCCAGACAGCAGAACTATAGCAGCTATTTTTGTTTCATGTTGCACTCTTCAGTAGAAGCTTGTAATCCCAGTCACCTTTTCGAGAGCAAAGTATTTCATGAGTATCGATTTGTGACACCTTCTTCTGCCTCCTGACTCATTAAGGCTTGCCCTTGGATGTTACTTTCTCATGTGGTCTATTGCAGTATCCTGCACACTGTTCGCCTCATGAAACGTCTAGTTCTCTTAGTGGCAGTTAGAAAAAATTATACCAAATAAAAAGTAAGTTCCATGGCATGAGCATACACATTCGCTTACTGGTGAGCGTCTCATGACCCGAATGTATCATAAAAAGTCGCGCAGTTCCTGCTAACAACAACGCAACACCAGTTGCAGCATTTCCAATCATCTTCAAAAAATTTAAATTCTTGCAAACATACGCTACTATTGTTCCAAAACTGGCAGACTTGGATCAGTGGAAAATAGCACTGCTATTATTTATCATACCGAAGGTTCGACTCTACGAGCAGGATAACCAGTCTCTCTGCGATTTGTTCAGTCATTTCGATAGCAAACTGTTACTGCCGCATTCCAGGGAATCAGACCATCATCATTTCGCTTCTGAGCCACCACATCGAAAGAGGAAACCATCGATATACTTGTCAGCAGCCAGTTGCTGATTGCATTTGCTACCGAGTGCCTCCGCTTTTCGTTAAGGATGATTTTAAGAATACTGTAGCTGGGTTAATTCAAAATTTGCAACCTGTACAATGATGACACCGTAGCGCTGTAGCAGTGTTTGATGTCGAATCAGAATATACGCAAAATAACCATTGGACACAGCTACTAGTGCACCGACAACGACATAGACGTAGAACAGAATCGTTTCTATGTCCATTGTCGCTTAGGAACTTCATTCAGTGGTTCACAAGCGCTTGTTTCTTCTCAAGATCCATAGTACCATGATAAGGAACAGTTGGTAAGGAAATTTGACGATACTGGGCCAGCAGTGACTATGCCAAGGTCAGGTGTGCTGAAACTATAATGTTTTAAAGGGTTTACTCGTTTTCCATTTGCTTACTTTGACAGCTCGCTCAGACGTGATCCATTCTTGTCTTTCTGGCTATTTATTTATCCCCACATAATTAGTAATATTTTATTTGTTAGAATATTTTTTTTGAATTCGAAGTGCTAGTTATTAAACAAACCCATAACAAAAAGAATGCACATGATGGAACCTTCACACTGACTGAGCGGCCAGCCTGTTAATCTTACTAGTTTGTAAGCGAGGCTGAAACGCACCAGACAAGCCAGTTTGATCATGCTTTCTTGCGCTATTTCGTGCTGTAACAAGGTTACAAGAAATCAGAGCAGCTAAAATTTGTGATTTGCTGGCCCTTGAAGTTCAGGAAGTTAACTGTGCAACTACGTGGCATGTCAGTTGTAGGTGCTGGTTTCAGTGACCCGAGAAATGGAAGACTGCTGGTGCGCGAAAAGGACCGTACTAGAAAAGCTGAATTTGAAATCTTTTAGTCGCACGTGGGTAAGGAGCATTCCCCTCAGAATTCCAGCCATTCAACTATTCTCATACCCGAGTTAATTTTCCCACCAAAACTTTCACGCGCCCGTACTTGAGATATAAGCGGTTTTAAGGGGCTGAATTTGAAATCTTTTGGTCATCACCGAGTAGGGAACATTCTCCTGAAGCCTCATCCTTCTAGCTTTTCATGTCCCCGAGTTAATAAATTTCCCGCCAAAATTTTCACGCGCTCGCGAATGTGTGTGAGAGTTGGTATCGAGGTCCTGAGGTGGCACTTGTCCGGGGAACCAATTGGCAAAATTTTAGCGCCGGAGCTTGCTTGATTACCGAGTTGAAATACCCCGACAGACGTACACATACATATTTACACACACACAAGACATACACACAGACAGGGTCGATGCAATGTGCGTTTTTGCGATTTGCATACATGCAAAAACGCATAAACCCAGGCTGGAACGCACCGGATGGGCCCGTGCTATCATGTGTTACCGGACTTGAATTACCCAGGTCACTAACTGCATGAATGGCTGTTGCTTTACATTTACTTTTTGCGGTCACCAGCATAAATCACCACAAATTTTGCAAAGTAAATGTATAATTTGCATTTAACAGTCGTTCTTTAAAATTAACCTAGTTGTTCAGTGAGAAATTTTTGTGTCAAAACTTTCAAGCGCTCGTACGTAAGAATCACGCATACCTCAAAGCCGAATTTGAAATACTTAAGTTGTACTTGGACAGGGAACATTCCCGCAAAATTTTAGCCTTCCAGCTTTCCTGTTTACCGAGTGAGCAGTTTTCCCACCAAAACCCTCACACACACGTACTTGGGTACCTTGGGTACTCTACGTGCTTGGAAAGGTGAATTTAAAATTTTTAAATTGCACTATGGACAGGGAACATCGGCCTAAAA